GAGACTGTTCCTATTAAAATTAAGCATGTGTATAAAAGCTTGCAGGGTTATTTTCTTAGCAGTGTTGCATAGGAATGTCCTGTTAGCATATATTTAGACATGCTAATGAGTTATCACTCATTAACCAGACTTTTACTCATCAATTGTTCTAGGTAATGACTCTGCGAAAGAATGTCTAGGATACTTTTTTTTTTTAACATTCACCCGAATTAGCTTAGTAGAGATGGAGAGGAACTAACATTTTAAAGTGTTTTGCTTTAAATATACTGTTTCTGTTGAATGCTGTGTGGAACAGGGATGGACAGAGCTATAAATGCATCATTTCTAGGTAGGGTGTTAATTGCTTACAGTGAGTTCATTTTTAAGTCACTCTTGGCAGAGTGAGCTGTAATTTCAGACAGGAAATACTGTGAGGAGAAAGCAATTTAAACTCATTCAATGCATAGTTCATTAAAGCTAAACGTAAATTAAGTTCATTTTAAAGGAATTTGCATTTAGTCATGAGAATTTATCTCGACCCTCTCAGTTCTATGTCGTTACAGCCGCGGGGTGGCTTTGCAAGTAGTGACATTTAAAAAAGGAGATGGTCACGGCGGTACAGCTGAGTGCCTGCCGTGCAGATGCTAGGTCTGCTTTTCCAGAGAGCTGTCCCGTGTCGCCTGAGCTGACGGACGGCCTGTGCCCTCGGTCAGAGCCCGCACACGACAGCAGTTGGCACGCGGTACCCTAATCCACGTGGATCGGGCAGAGTGGTTTTTACCGTCATCGTAACTTCGGAGGAGCTCTGTCACGTGCGGTTTCCTTCTCCATATAGATTTCTGAAGGTGCTTTTTTTGCCCTGTTGGGTGTCAGCTGTGTTGGCTGGAGCATTTTGTGTCCCGCTTGTCCCCCGGGTCTCATGGTCAGCACCTCCCCGGGTATTCAAGGCCCCATCCTCAGCTGCTGTGCAGGTTTGTGTAACCTCTACTCCTGCTCGCTCACGGGAAGGTTGTGCGTGTTATTTACTGATCTCTTACAGCTAAGTGGAAGGAAAAAAATGGAGAGATGTGGATATGGTTGTACCTGAAGGTATGCAGTAAGCTTCTAGGCTAGCGTTCGTAGCCATTGATCTCGCTTTTCCGCAGCACGGTGCTGGGAGTCAGTGTTGCGAACAG